TTTCACTTCATGCATCTGATGAAGTCTTGGGCTCTAGCCCACGAAAGCTTATGCCCAAATAAATTTGTTAGTCTCTAAGGTGCCACAGGGACTCCCCATTGCTATTCCTAAACAAAGTCCAGCATGCACACTTCTTTCAGTCTCTCTTGTCATACCTTTTTTTGGGGGGGGAGGTAAATTGATACTCAGCACATCAGACAAATGAGAATAATGTCCAAAAAGGAGAGTGCAAGCACTGATTGAAAATACTGGGGCCAATCCAATTAATCAATGGGAAAGTAGTTTTAAAATAGGTTTCCAATATTAAAACCCAAATTAAAAAGGGGTAGGGGGTCTGTGAAGAGTTTGTGTACATACCTTAGAGCTCTATTGATGTTACAGTTGGTCTGTGGCTAGCACTTTCTCACCTTCTACTAAAGTAAGAAGTTTGTTTACTCAATACTTGCCAAGTCTATACTAAACACAGCCTCAAGACAGTCAGACATTTCATGACAGAGGCACTTGTCTCACCTGTCCTGTATTATACCCTATACTGAATAGATCTTCAGTGCCATGAGACATCAGGAGAAAGATATCTAATGTGTAGGGGGACCATGGCGTTGAATACGAGATGGGGTGAATTGAGCAGCATCTTCTTGGACTTGACTTAATGCTTTAGAATACAGGAGGAAGGAGATGTTAAATTTTATCCAATTTAGTAACTTCAGAGCCAGCACAAGATGAAGAGTAAATGAATACCATAAAGTAACATTGATTTTTCAGTGCTCTGGCCATGACATGAGACAAGTGAAGGAACAGGGTAGAAACAGGAAGCTTTCAGGAGATCCATAAATGCAATGGGGGTTAACTAATTCTGTTGAGAATACTGAGCCGAATTCACCACTGCATTACTCCAATTATACATGGCTGTAACTATAATGAAACCTCTGTTTTTGCTGGAGTTTTGAAGGTACAATTGTTTCTGGGAATCTTTGCTGATGTTTCTACCCTCTTTGTTTAGGATAAACAGGAACTGAGTACACACATAGTGAATAAACAGACTAGGAAAGCATATGGTGAGTGCCTGCCTCCCTCACTTCTCTTCCCATGAGGAATTGACCTGCTCTAGACATTTCAAGTTCTACTTTTGGTGCTGGGACAGGTCTCAGGACACTGATATGACAAGAAGTGCATTTAGGATTGTTGTTTTAGTGGTGAGCTTTGTTTTGGTATGTGTAGGGAAATGTTCATTGCTGGAACCTGTCATTTTTAGGCTGCTCCAGATACTTAAATAGGATCTGGTCCAAGAGGTGAATATAGCTGTACTGCTTGGTAATAGTGACCATAATATAATTAAATTTAACATCCCTGTGGCGAGGAAGACACCTCAGCAGCCCAACACTGTAGCATTTAATTTCAGAAAGGGGAACTACACATAAAATGAGGAGGTTAGTTAAACAGAAATTAAAAGGTACAGTACCAAAAGTGAAATCCCTGACAAGCTGCATGGAAACTTTTTAAAGACACCATAATACAGGCTCAACTTAAATGTATACCTCAAATTAAAAAACATAGTAAGAGAACCAAAAATGTGCAACCGGGGCTAAACAAAGTAAAAGAAGCAGTGAGAAGCAAAAAGCTATCCTTTTAAAAAGTGGAAGTTAAATCCTAGTGAGGAAAATAAAAAGGAGCATAAACTCTGGCAAATTAAGTGTAAAAATATAATTAAGAAGGCCAAAAAAAAAGAATTTGAACAGCTAGCCAGAGACTCAAAAAGTAATAGATTTTTTTTTTAAGTACATCAGAAGCAGGAACCCTGCTAAACAACCAGTGGGGCTACTGGACAATCGAGATGCTAAAGGAGCACTCAAGGACAATAAGGTGGTTGTGGAGAACCTAAATAAATTCTTTGCATCAGTCTTCATGGCTGAGGATGTGAGGGAGATTCCCAAACCCAAGCCATTCTTTTTAGGTGACAAATCTGAGGAACTGTCCCAGATTGAGGTGTCATTAGAGGAGGTTTTGGCACAAATTGATAAACTAAACAATAATAAATCACCAGGACCAGATGGAATTCACACAAGAGTTCTGAAGGAATTCAAATGTGAAATTGCAGAACTACTAACTGTAGTCTGTAACCTATTATTTAAATCAGCGTCTGTACCAAATGACTGGAGGATAGCTAATGTGACGCCAATTTTTAAAAAGGGCTCTAGAGATGATCCTGGCAATTACAGGCCGGAAAGCCTGACTTCAGTACCAGACAAACTGGTTGATACTATAGTAAAGAACAGAATTGTCAGACACAGATGAATGTAATTTGTTGGGGAAGAGTCAACATGGTTTTTGTAAAGGGAAGTCATGCCCCCAATCTACTAGAATTCTGTGAGGGGGTCAACAAGTATGTAGACAAGGGGGAGCTAGTAGATATAGTGTACTTAGATTTTCAGAAAGCCTTTGACAGGGTCCTTCAACAAAGGCTCTTAAGCAAAGTAAGATGTCATGGAATAAGAGGGAAGGTCCTCTAATGGATTGGTAACTGGTTAAAAGATAGGAAACAAAGGGTAGGAATACATGGTCAGTTTTCAGAATGGAGAGAGGTAAATAGTGGTGTCCCCCAGGGGTCTGTACTGGACAAGTCCTATTCAACATATTCATAAATGATCTGGAAAAAGGGGTAAACAGTGAGGTGGCAAAATTTGCAGATACAAAATTACTCAAGATAGTTAAGTCCCAGGCAGACTGCAAAGAGCTATGAAAGGATCTCTCAAAACTGGGTGACTGTGAAACAAAATGGCAGATGAAATTCAGTGTTGATAAATGCAAAGTAATACACATTGGAAAACATAATCCCAACTATATATATAAAATGATGGGGTCTAAATTGGCTGTTATCACTCAAGAAAGATCTTGATGTCATTGTGTATAGTTCTCTGAAAACATCCACTCAATGTGCAGTGGCAGTCAAAAAAGCAAACAGAATGTTGGGAATCATTAAGAAAGGGATAGATAATAAGACAGAAAATACTATATTGCCTCCATATAAATCCATAGTATGCCCACATCTTTAACAGTGTGTGCAGATGTGGTCGCCGCATCTCAAAAAAGATATATTGAATTGGAAAAGGTTCAGAAAAAGGCAACAAAAATTATTAGGGGTATAGAATGGCTTCCATATGAAGAGAGATTAATAAGACTGGGACTTTTCAGCTTGGAAAAGAGATGATTAAGGGAGGATATGATTGAGGTCTATAAAATCATGACTGGTGTGGAGAAAATAAATAAGTAAGTGTTATTTACTCCTTCTCATAACACAAGAACTAGCGGTCACCAAATGAAATTAATAGGCAGCAGGTTTAAAACAAACAAAAGGAAGTATTTCTTTACACAACCTGTGGAACTCTTTGACAGAGGATGTTGTGAAGGCCAAGACTATAAAGGGTTAAAAAAAGAACTAGATAAATTCATGGAGATGGGTCCATCAATGGCTATTAGCCAGGATGAGCAGGGATGGTGTCCCTAGCCTCTGTTACCAGAAGCTGGGAATGGGCGACAGGGGATGGATCACTTGATGATTACCTGTTCTGTTCATTCCCTTTGGGGCACCTGGCATTGGCCACTGTTGGAAGACAGGATACTGTGCTGGATGGACCTTTAGTCTGAGCCAGTATGGCCGCTCTTATGTATTTCTATGCTGAATGTCCTCCTCAGCCTGTTTCCTGATGCCATTCAGCCCAAATTTCACTACTGAGTTCACTCCTGAATTTTGCTTTGCATCTTACCTCTCTCAGGCACATGCTTTAGTTATAGTAAAGGAAAGTTTACCTTCACATTTACTTGATGATTTCTTTAGGTTTTGATTTTTACGCGTAGTTTCCTGGTCCATTGCTATCCGAGATGCAGTTGATTTTTTCCGTTTATCTTTACCACACCTCATTTGTCGTTTTCTATTCTTCACCTCTGAAGGCTTTTGGAATCTTGAGCGCAATATCATTGTTGGAGACCCTGGAAAATCCTGGTAACTGGTCTTGAAGCTCTCTTCTAGTCCTAAATAGTTCAATCACAATACTTTGCATTACAGATTAGAACAATTTTTTATTTTGCAACGATTGTTACCATATTGACTTTTCAAGTCTTAACAATTCAGATAAAGAAGGTTAAATTCAGTAAATTGTTGCTTGCTTGTATTTTCTAAAGCCTTGTCTAAGAGCAAACACTGTGTTTTCCAATGATGTTGAAATACAGTTAAGCTGGTTAGTATAGGCTCCCCCCGGCTAAAACAGAAAATTAACATGTCTTCAAACCAGCCTTGGCATTACCTGGGGAGCAGGAGACATTCGACCTCTACCCAAAACAATCTTAATTGTCAGAAAGGCCAAAATATATACAAAGTTATTCAGAGTTAAGTAGTGGAAGTGACAGTGATTGTGCTGTATACTGCCATCTCTGTCTGCTGAGTGTCATTTTTGTGACTAACAACACTGTTTAAAATAATCACCTCAATAGTAGGGGTGTCAAGGGATTAAAAAAATTAATTGTGATTAATTGTGCTGCTAAACAATAATAGAATACCATTTATTTAAATATTTTTTTATGTTTTCTACATTTTCAAATATATTGATTTCAATTACAACACAGAATACAAAGTGTACAATGCTCACTTTATATTTATTTTTTATTACAAATATTTGCACTGTAAAAAATAAGAGAAATAGTATTTTTCATTTCACCTCATACAAGTACTGTAGTGCAATCTCTTTATCATGAAAGTTAAACTTACAAATGTAGAATTATGTACAAAAAACCTGCATTCAAAAAAAAACCAGTGTAAAACTTTAGAGCCTACAAGTCCACTCAGTCCTACTTCTTGTTCAGCCAATTGCTAAGAGAAACAAGTTTGTTTACAATAACGGGAGATAATGCTGCCCACTTCTTAATTACAATGTCACCTGAAAGTGAGACCATGCATTCGCATGACACTGTTGTAGCTGGTGTCGCAAGATATTTATGTGCCAGATGCGCTAAAGATTCATGTGCCTCTTCATGATTTGGCCATCGTTCCAGAGGACACGCTTCCATGCTGATGATGCTTGTTAAAAAAAGAATGTATTAATTAAATTTGTGACTGAACTCCTTGGGGGAGAATCGTATGTCTCCTACACTGTTTTTACTTGCATTCTGCCATATATTTCATGTGATAGTCTTGGATGATGACCCAACACATGTTGTTCATTTTAAGAACACTTTCACTGCAAATTTGATAGAATGCAAAGAAGATACCAATGTGAAATTTCTAAAGATAGTTACAGCACTCGACCCAAGATTTAAGAATCTGAAGTGCCTTCCAAAATCTGAGAGGGATGAGGTGTGAAGCATGCTTTCAGAAGTCTTAAAAGTGCAACACTCTGATGTGGAAACTACAGAACCCAAACCACCAAAAAAGAAAATCAGCCTTCTGCTGGTGGCATCTAAGGGTATGTCTACACTAAGAAATTAGGTCGATTTTTATAGAAGTAAATTTTTAGAAATCAATTTTGTACAGTCGATTATGTCCCCACTAAACGCATTAAGTCGGTGGAGTGCGTCCTCACTACCATGGCTAGCATCGACTCATGGAGCCAGTGCACTGTGGGAAGCTATCCCACAGTTCCCACAGTCTCCGCTGCCCATTGGAATTCTGGGTTAAGCTCCCAATGCCTGATGGGGCAAAAACATTGTTGCGGGTGGTTTTGGGTTCATGTCGTCAGTCTCCCCTCCCTCCCTCCGTGAAAGTAACTTCAGACAATCGTTTTCTGCCTTTTTTCCTGGGTTTCCCATGCAGACGCGATACCATGGCAAGCATGGCGCCCGCTTAGCTCACCGCTGCTGTTGTGAGCATTGTAAACACCTCGTGCATTATACTGCAGTATGTGCAGAACCTGGCTAAGAGACGGCAGCACGAGGACGATTGTGAGGAGGACATGGACACAGAGGTTCCTGAAAGCACAGGATGTGGCAATTGGGACATCATAGCGGCAGTGGGGCTGGTTGATACAGTGGGCCCGGCAAACAAGCACAGACTGGTGGAACCGCATAGTGTTGCAGGTATGGGATGATTCCCAGTGGCTACGAAACTTTAATATGCGTAAGGCCACTTTCCTGGAACTTTGAGTTGCTTTTCCCCACCCTGAAGCGCAGGAATACCAAGATGAGAGTTGCCTGACATTTGAGAAGCGAGTGGCGATAGCCCTGTGGAAGCTTGCAACACCTGACTGCTACCAGCCAGTCGGGAATCAATTTGAAGTGGGCAAATCTACCGTGGGGACTGCTGTGATTCAAGTAGCCAATGCAATCACTGACGTTCTGCTATCAAGGGTAGTGACTCTGGGAAATGTGCAGGTCATAGTGGATGGCTTTGCTGCAATGGGTTTCCCTAACTGTTGTGGGGCGATAGCTGGAACGCATATCCCTATCTTGGCACCGGACCACCTGGCCAACCAGTACGTAAACTGCAAGGGGTACTTCTCAATGGTGCTGCAAGCACTGGTGGATCACAAGGGACGTTTCACCGACATCAATGTGGGATGGCCGGGAAAGGTGCATGACGCTCGCATCTTTAGGAACTCTGGGCTGTTTGAGCAGCTGCAAGAAGGGACTTACTTCCCAGACCAGAAAATAACCACTGGGGATGTTGAAATGCCTATAGTTATCCTTGGAGACCCAGCCTACCCGTTGCTCCCATGGCTCATGAAGCCATACACAGGCAGCCTGGATAGTAGTAAGGAGCAGTTCAACGATAGGCTGAGTGTAGGAGAAAGGGTGCGGAAGATTGGCGAGGAGCTAAGTGGTGGACCGAGTATGTGACTGAATGCAGTGATGAGCTGCCAAAATATTAACAACCGGTTCCCTCCTCCTCACCCCACAAGGGGATTGTGCCCCCCCGCCCCCTGGGACTCCTGCCCCATCCAACCCCCCACGTTCCTTGACACCCCACCCCCGGGACCCCTGCCCCATCCACCCCCATCCATATGGAACTTGGGGAGGAGGGCAGGCGCTTGTACAGTGGATGCGGCAATCTTGTTGGCTTTCCTGCAGCTCCACCAGACACCAGAACATGTCCGTTTGCTCCCCCATTAGGCTCAGCATTGCATCCTACCTCTTCGCATCACGCTCACTTAATGATTTCCTGGACTCTGCCACTGAATGCCTCCATGATTCAGCTGTGCCCTATCAGTGCGGGAGGACTGCATGAGCTCGGAAAACATGTCATTGCGAGTGCGTTTTTTTTCACCTTCTAATTTGCGATAACCTCAGGGACGGAGATGATGGGGGAGCATAGAAACATTTGCACCTGTGGGGGGATAAAAAGGGAGAGTAAAATTAAAGATGATACATTTCTGAGAACAAAAGAGAGACTCTTTCACAGTGAATCAAGCAATTTACAGCAGACAGCACATGTGCTTTAGGTACAAGGTTGCATTTTGCCTTTTATATTGAGCGCCTGCCGGTATAGGGACACATCACACACGGCTGGGCAACAGAATTCAGTTTCCAGGCAGCCATGGTAAGCCAAAGGGTATGCGGGTTTTGCTTCTAATGTCTTCATAACATGTGGGAATGTTTTCAAACTGCAGCACCCTCCTTTCCCATAGCAAGCAATGCCGGTTGGGTTTGCCATTTAAAAGGAGGTGCTGCAGTTTTCGGATGGCTGCGCAGCACACACCTCCCCCTCCCACCGTTGTGTAGCTATTCTCAGGGATGATCCCTTTTAGCCAAGCGCAAACAGCCCAGCATGAACGGGGTCCTTTTACTGTTCCCTTACAAAAATTCCCCTATTTCAACCAGGTGACCATGAATGATATCACTCTCCTGAGGCTAACACAGAAAGATATAGATCGAATGTTGCTTGAATGCAACCAAAACCCAGGACCATTCGCTGCCATGCTTTGTGCTGCAATGATTCCAGTCTACTTGCTACCTGCTTGGCGTGGTAAAGTGTCCTACCGTGGAGGACGAAATAAGTCAGCCCTCCCTGGAAACCTTCTGCAAAGGCTTTCAGAGTACCTCCAGGAGAACTTCATGGAGATGTCCCTGGAGGATTCCCGCTCCATCCCCAGACATGTTAACAGACTTTTCCAGTAGCTGTACTGGCTGTGAATGCATCCCAAGTCTTTAGGGCAAAGCAAACATTAAACACTATCGCTTTAAAACCCTGTACTGTACTTACAAATGTGCACTCACTAGAGGTGCCTTCTCTGCCTTCAGGGTCGGGGATCCCGCCTTGGGAGGGTATTGGCTCCAGGGTGATGAAAAGGTCCTGGCTGCCGGGGAGAACGGATTCACAGCTTGCCTGCTGCGCATTCTCCTCCTCCTCCTCCTCTTCTTCATCCACAAAATTCTCCTCTGTGTTGCGTGAGACTCCCCCCTTGCAGGTGTCCACAGACAGTGGTGGGGTGGTGGTAGGGTCCCCCCCCTAGAATGCCATGCAGCTGATCATAGAAGCGGCATGTATGGCACTCTGACCCAGAGTGACTGTTTGCCTCCTTTGTCTTTTGGTAGGCTTGCCTGAGCTCCTTGACTTTCACGCAGCACTGCTGTGTGTCCTTGTTGTAGCCTCTGTCCATCATGCCCTGTGTGATTTTGGCATATATATATTAGCATTTCTTCTTTTTGATCGGAGTTCTGCCTGCACAGATTCTTCTCCCCATACAGCAATCAGATCCAGTGTCTCCTGTTTGGTCCATGCTGGAACTCATTTGCGATTCTGGGGGGACTGCATGGTCACCTGTGCTGCTGACCAAACAGGAAATGAAATTCAAAAGTTCCTGGGGCTTTTCCTGTGTACCTGGCTAGTGCATCGGAGTGGAAAGTGCTGTCCAGAGCAGTCACATTGGAGCACTCTGGGATAGCTCCCGGAGGCCAATAACGTCGATTTGTGTCCGCACTACCCCAAATTCGACCCAGCAAGGTCGATTTTAGCACTACGCCCCTCGCCAAGGAGGAGTACAGAAGTCGATTTTAAGAGCCCTTTAGGTCGACTGAATGGGGTTGCTTGTGTAGACGCATTC